AGGTAGGTAGATAAGTTGGTTGGTTGGTTGGTTGGTTGGGAGAGAGGTAGGTAGGTAAGTAGGTTGACAGGTAGATAGGTAGGTTGGGTTGTTGGTTGTTTAGTTTGTAGGTAGGTAGATAGATAGGTAGGTAGATAGATAGGTAGGAAGCTTAGTTGGTTGGTTGGTTGGTGTCTTTGGTTGGTTGGTTGGTTGGTTGGTTGGTTGGTTGGTTGGTTGTTTGGTAGGTAGTTAGGTAGGTAGGTAGGTAAGAAGTTAGATATTCTTGAAGAAAATGGGGTGTAGACGACAAATGTTCCAATTTCCTGCTAGTTTTGTTAGCCAAGAGCTGACTCGACCCACTAAATTTTAACTAAATGAATAGACATGTCGTTAGGACTGGATCAGTTTCAAGATGTTGAGATCATTGGTAAAGATCCATAGTAAAGTGATGGTAAATATTTCTCAAGAGCAAAGATAAACCGTTGTTTTAGACATCACGTTGTGTACATATCTGTGTACAACAGAGTTGAGATAACTTTATTTGACGATGAACCTAAAATTTTATGTGTACATGGTGCTAACAAACAGCCCGGTGAATTTTTTTTCTGCCCTTCAAATAAGCAAATAATGGTCAACAAGAAAGAATAGCTCTTCATCATGAAACTGAAAGTTGTTTTCGTCGAAATATGTGTCTGGGTTGCTTTTAAATATGCACTTAAAAATAACGGAATTAATTATTTTTAGATAAATTTACATAATGTGCCAATAAAATGTAAATATTACAAATATTTGTATTTTTTAAAGGAGCGTTTTATTTTTATACAGTTTGTGGCGTTAAAGTGTTGATGCTATTCATTCTCCTACATAGATTGATAAATTGTTACGTAGCGGTATTTTTTTAAAGATTTCAATCTTATAAAATTTTGCTTGTTGAATAAACCATACATAACAAAGGACTGAGAAAACAGTATTCAAAGAAAAACCCAACCAAATCTAGTGACACTAACTAAATTCAATTTTTTAGCAAATAAATAAATGTCTACAAAAAAATAAAATTTGCGTCAAGTGAAAAAGTTACACACATCAAAATAAAATAAAAATATGAATGTAAGCACAAGTTTTACAACGTCTCGTGCATGTTGAAAAATACTTTAAAATCTCACGCTCTCTCTGGCTGTGTCTTGAAATTCTCTGTCTCTAAGAAACCTGCCAGTCTTGACAGGTGTTTGCATTTATTGTTATCACGTGTGATCTCTCGGATGCGACAGAATCATTCGACTGACATTAAGGACAATCTCATGGAAGACTATTTGACAGACGCTTCTCTGCTGGAGAATAAGGTTCTCTAATCTACAGTTAAAGAAATTGAGTATGTCCTTCAAACAAATTAAAAGCCATTGGCAGATTTTAATTTGCTACTTTAAAACGACACAATGATGAACGGACCCTTTCATGGAATATGCTGCAATCCAATAGCCGACAAAAACCATGTTCGACCACATTTATTAATTTATTCAAAAAGAGAGAGAGAGATAATGAGAGCCTTTACGACGACTTGGTTTGTTGGCATCCGTCCGACCCAATGTGACGATGGTGTGGGCTTCGGCGGACGAAATCCACAAGGCCTGGGTTTATTCTTCAAGGATTATAAGCAGGTTCCCAACAGCAAATCACCTCTCTCCACGCCACTGGATAACCCAAGGGGACATCATTTGGGTGATACATGCTTAGCACCAGTGACGTCGCAGGAGTTGTCGGGAATGTTTCATTGTATCAATGTTATCCGCCTTTCAGGATTCCATCTCCGGGTTTGATTTCAGAGTTTCCTTCTCTTAGGTGAGTTGTCATCCAAGGTTAACGAGTCCCATCCACCCGGGGTGCTGATGATGTATTTGCCTGACTTGGCTCTGGCTAGAAATGGACTAAAGACCATGAACCTGAGATTTGCTCATTTTAGACAACTCGGACACCCAGCACTGACTTGGTAGATGACTCTAACAAGAGTGATGCTCTTCCCTGTCTTTCCGTAGAGTGCTAGTCTAAATTCAGTTGACATGTTTACACCAGGCGTTGGGCCAAATATTGAAAATTCAAATATTGAGTCTCATTCTGCGACAGTGCTGTTTCAGTACTTTTTTTTTACCGATGATTTCCTTGAAATGATTGGAGATGAGGCAAAAAATGTTCCACTCAGAAACATTCAAATGCTTTCACCCCCGTACCCGTCAGTGATATTCACACTTTCATAGACGTAAATAAGATGTTTGGTGTGTAGCATTTTTTTACCCGCATACACAATGCAATGGTCTACACATACCTAAAAATTATAGATCCCTGTCCGTCTGATGTCATGTCTGTCATAGATTTCAAGAAATTTCGAAATGATGTGTGAACGTGTGTTGCTGCTTTGATTCTGCAACATTTATGTATTTTAGATTTTGATTTCTCTGCTGGTTAATCCGACATTTGCGGTGTCACATAGACCGGGTTGTATAGATTACAATGTCATAATAAATTTGGCACAGCCATATTTTCACAGAAAAACATTATCATTTTTATTTCTATGTTTTCTATTCTTCGGTTAAAGTAATGCATGAGTTGCTATACAGCAGCAGATATTCATAGAAACGACACGCAGGAACAGTAGACACTGATCGAAAGACCTAAAAGGAGTCATTAATAACAACAACAAAAATCTGTGTGAAATGAGGCAGACAGGACAGGTAAGGGCGTCAGAAGGGATATTGGTGGACGGGCTAACGTTCCAGTTCCATGCTCTCAACCAACGCGTCACCTACAATGGACACTGCATCAAGTCATAAAAATAAAAAAAATACGGCGCTGTTGATTAACAGATTCCCCCAGTATGAATAGCTCTCCTATGCCGGTATGTGTGGTGTGGACACCCTGGTGGCGAAAGAGCACCAAGTCTTCGTAAGGATGTATGTTCTTTTTAGTTCAGGCGACAGATCAGAATGCTTCTACATTATACAAGAACACGATAAGACACCTATGCCATTGTTCCATTTGTAACTTTACATAGCCCTTACCCGTAGCCCAATGAAAGACTCTACAAAAAAAAGGGGGGGGGGGAATACAGGTGCAGGTCCTTGCTGCTGGAGGTTTGACTGTTCTGCTGAGGGTGTGGCTGTTCCTTCTGCTGGTGGTTTGACAGTTCTGCTGAGGGTTTGGTTGTTCCTGCTGCTGGAGGTTTGACTGTTCTGCTGAGGGTTTGGCTGTTCCTGCTGCTGGTGGTTTGGCTGTTCTGCTGAGGGCTTGGCAGTTCCTGCTGCTGGTGGTTTGGCTGTTCCGCTGAGGGTTTGGCTGTTCCTGCTGCTGGTGGTTTGTCTATTCTGCTGAGGGCTTGGCAGTTCCTGCTGCTGGTGGTTTGGCTGTTCTGCTGAGGGCTTGGCTGTTCCTGCTGCTGGTGGTTTAGCTGTTCTGCTGAGGTTTTGGCTGTTCTGCTGAGGGTTTGGCTGTTCTGCTG